GCTGTGACTCCCCTTATCACCCCTCGCTCCATGATGCTGTGACTCCCCTTATCACCCCTCGCTCCATGAATGCTGTGACTTCCCCTTATCACCCCTCGCTCCATGAGCAGTGACTCCCCTTATCACCCACTCGCTCCATGATGCTGTGACTCCCTTATCACCCCTCGCTCTATGATGCTGTGACTCCCCTTATCACCCCTCGCTCTATGATGCTGTGACTCCCTTATCACCCTCGCTCCATGATTTGTACTCCCCTTATCAGCCCTCGCTCCATGGCTGTGGACTTCCCTTATCGACCCCTCGCTCCATGATGCTGTGACTCCCCTTATCACCCTCGCTCCATGATGCGTGACTCCCCTTAATCACCCCTCGCTCCATGATACTGATGACTCCCCTTTCACCTCGCTCCATGATGCTGTGACTACCCTTATCCCCCTCCTCCATGATGCTGTGATCCCCTTATCACCCCTCGCTCCATGATGCTGTGACTCCTTATCACCCCTCGCTCCATGATGCTGTGACTCCCTTATCACCACTCGCTCCATGATGCTGTGACTCCCTATCACCTCGCTCCAGATGCTGTGACTCCCCTTATCACCCTCGCTCCATGATGCTGTGACTCCCCTTAGGTCGCCCCTCGCTCCTATGAATGCTGTGACTCCCCTTATCACCCCTCGCTCTATGATGCGTGACTCCCTTATCACCCCTCGCTCCATGATGTGTGACTCCCCTTATCACCCCTCGCTCTATGATGCTGTGACTCCCCTTATCACCCCTCGCTCCATGATGCTGTGACTCCCCTTATCACCCCTCGCTCCATGATGCTGTGAGTCCCTTATCACCCCTCGCTCCATGATGCTGTGACTCCCCTTATCAACCCCTCGCTCCATGATGCTGTGACTCCCCTTATCGCCCCTCGCTCCATAATGCTGTGACTACCCCTTATCACCCCTCGCTCCATGATGCTGTGACTCCCCTTATCACCCCTCGCTCCATGATGCTGTGACTCCCCTTATCACCCCTCGCTCCATGATGCTGTGACTCCCTTATCACCCCTCGCTCCATAATGCTGTGACTCCCCTTATCACCCCTCGCTCCATGATGCTGTGACTCCCCTTATCACCCCTCGCTCCATGATGCTGTGACTCCCCTTATCACCCCTCGCTCCATGATGCTGTGACTCCCCTTATCACCCCTCGCCCCCTGATGTTGTGGCTCCTCCTGTCACCCCCTGATGCTGTAGTTCTTTCCCACCTACCCTTCCTCTCCCAGTATCGCTGTATTTCTTCTTCAGTCTCCTGTGTTGCTGTTGCCTCAGCGATGAAGACGAGGCACGACAGTGTAGTCGAAGTGGCTGGGGAGCCACTCTCCCGTCACAGTATTCTTGTGTCCCAATACCTTCTAGTCTGGTTAGATACGATATTATTCCAACCAAACATCTTCCTTGGAAAGTGAGATTAAGCTAGCTAGAAAATACATTTACTGCTTATACAATTACAGTGAAACAGCGAAGCTCTTGCGAGCCCCTCGCAGTGCTTAGAATATACTCCGGAGCGAAAAGAAAGAATTTTTTGTTTACGATCTCTATAAGAAATATACTCAGCCAGGTAAGGAATCTGCTCATACACCTGACACGAGGAGAAAAGTAGAGTCAACTTAGTGGAAAGCATAAATGTGTTAAGAGAAGCTAGAGACTTTTGTGTCAACATCCGTAACCAAAGACTCTTCAACCTTTTACATGGACGATGTTGCTGGGGGCTGTGGGAGTTCATGGGAGTTCATAGGAGTTCATGGGAGTTCATAGGAGTTCATAAGAGTATATGAGGAAAGACAGACATCACAAAACTTGGAACTCCATACCCAGACTCTCCACTGAGAACTATTTCCGTTTATCTAGATTAAGGACTATCGTGTATTATCTAGGTGGGCAAGTCAACGATGGAAAAGCGGAAGGCTCTAGGAACTCTCTCGAAATCGGCCACATATATATCACAGGTAGGAAACTGAACTACTCAGTTGACCACCTGATCAACTGAGCAACAGCTTAGTTGATCAGGTGGTCATCACCCAGCTCCTGGGGAACGGCTGGTATCCTGATTTGAGGTGACGTCCGGTACATAACCTCGTCTACTTCCTCCATCGCTGAGTGCGGAGCTTTATTATGTTTCGCTCATTGTAGAGCTTTATCAAGTCATGTTTCACTCAGTATGGAGCTTTATCAAGTCATGTTTCACTCAGTATGGAGCTTTATCAAGTCATGTTTCACTCAGTATAGAGCTTTATCAAGTCATGTTTCACTCAGTATAAAGCTTTATCAAGTCATGTTTCAGTCAGTGTAGAGCTTTATCAAGTCATGTTTCAGTCATTGTAGAGCTTTGTCAAGTCATGTTTCAGTCAGTGTAGAGCTTTGTCAAGTCATGTTTCAGTCATTGTAGAGCTTTGTCAAGTCATGTTTCAGTCAGTGTAGAGCTTTGTCAAGTCATGTTTCAGTCAGTGTAGAGCTTTATCAAGTCATGTTTCAGTCAGTGTAGAGCTTTGTCAAGTCATGTTTCAGTCATTGTAGAGCTTTGTCAAGTCATGTTTCAGTCAGTGTAGAGCTTTATCAAGTCATGTTTCAGTCATTGTAGAGCTTTGTCAAGTCATGTTTCAGTCAGTGTAGAGCTTTATCAAGTCATGTTTCACTCAGTATAGAGCTTTATCAAGTCATGTTTCACTCAGTATAGAGCTTTATCAAGTCATGTTTCAGTCAGTGTAGAGCTTTAACAAGTCATGTTTCACTCAGTATAGAGCTTTATCAAGTCATGTTTCAGTCAGTGTAGAGCTTTGTCAAGTCATGTTTCAGTCAGTGTAGAGCTTTGTCAAGTCATGTTTCAGTCAGTGTAGAGCTTTGTCAAGTCATGTTTCAGTCAGTGTAGAGCTTTGTCAAGTCATGTTTCAGTCAGTGTAGAGCTTTATCAAGTCATGTTTCACTCAGTATAGAGCTTTATCAAGTCATGTTTCAGTCAGTGTAGAGTTTTGTCAAGTCATGTTTCAGTCAGTGTAGAGCTTTGTCAAGTCATGTTTCACTCAGTATAGAGCTTTATCAAGTCATGTTTCAGTCAGTGTAGAGCTTTGTCAAGTCATGTTTCAGTCAGTGTAGAGCTTTATCAAGTCATGTTTCAATCAGTATAGAGCTTTATCAAGTCATGTTTCACTCAGTATAGAGCTTTATCAAGTCATGTTTCAATCAGTATAGAGCTTTATCAAGTCATGTTTCAATCAGTGTAGAGCTTTATCATGTTTCGCTCAGTGTAGAGCTTTATCATGTTTCACTTAGTATAGAGCTTTATCATGTTTCACTCAGTATAGAGCTTTATCAAGTCATGTTTCAATAAGTGTAAAGCTTTATCATGTTTCAGTCAGTGTAGAGCTTTATCATGTTTCACTCAGTGTAGAGCTTTATCATGTTTCACTCAGTGTAGAGCTTTATCATGTTTCACTCAGTGTAGAGCTTTATCATGTTTCACTCAGTGTAGAGCTTTACATGCCATCTTTCACTCAGTGTAGAGCTTTATCAAGTCACCGTCGCCTGTGTCACTGTCGCAAACATCTGATGCTTCAACACCTGCAGTGACTCTCTGTACTTCCAGTGAATGACGGTGAATAAGTAAGAATATGAAAGGAGTGAAGAATGAATAGGGAATGAAGAACACCTAAGTCCTGGCATCCCACGGAGTGAACCCCGGGGTATTGTCTCCCACGGAGTGAACCCCGGGGTATTCTGTCTCCCACGGAGTGAACCCCGGGGTATTCTGTCTCCCACGGAGTGAACCCCGGGGTATTCTGTCTCCCACGGAGTGAACCCAGGGGTATTGTCTCCCACGGAGTGAACCCCGGGGTATTCTGTCTCCCACGGAGTGAACCCCGGGGTAGGCTATCTCCTACGGAGTGAACCCCGGGGTATTCTGTCTCCTATGGAGTGAATCCCGGGATATTCTGTCTCCTATGGAGTGAATCCCGGGGTATTCCTCCTCTCATCCCTCCTCCCAATCAGCCTATAAACAAACCCCCTCCCCTCTCCTCCTTCCTCCCCTTCCCCGTCCTCCAACCTCCAATCTCATCTCCCACGGCGCGACCCATGAAGAACCTTCTTGCAGAGAGCCGGGAGAAGTTTAGAGAACCTCTCCAGGGTCACAAAAACTGGCGTTCCCATGAAGGAGGCGGAGCAGGGGCAGGTGAATGGGAGACACCGATCTCTGAGATACTGTTGGGAACGTCAGCAGCAGCAGGGGTGGGGAGGGAGGCGGGGGGAGGGAGGCAGTGGGGAGAGTTTCGCCCACTGTAACCAAACAAAAGCTTTTTTCGTGCTTAGTAGGTCAAAAATTTATCTCGAAATTGGAGGAAATGTGATTATTGCTTGTGTTATTAAATGGGAAGAGATGCACGGTGGAGAGGCTGGGGAGATGCTGGAGGAGTACCTGGAGATGAAGCTGGGGGATGGGGTAGGAGTGCCTTGAGATGAGGCTGGGGGATGGGGCAGGACGGTCTCAGGATGACGCTGGGGGATGGGGCAGGAGTGCCTCGAGATGAGGGCAAGATTGGGCAAGAGCTGGTGGAGTGTGTGTGTCAGGTCAGGTGAGTGAGTGTTCACCTCACACACACGAGAGAATTCCACTTCTCCCATCACACCGCCACTTAAAAAGATCGATTTTAAACCCATCTCTCATTACATCCAGTCGCAAAAAAAAGATGCTGAAATCTGGAACGGTACACAGAGAATAAGACTTTTGAGATCAAAACAAAAAAAGCAAACAATAGCGTAATATACTCTGGGAAGTATCAAGGATTGTGGGAGCTAGGAGGCTGGCGGTTCCTGGCAGCTGCTGCATCTTCGCTAACTCCTCCTATATAAAAGTAAGAGTGAATCTGCCACGAGTCAGTCCATCTCTTTTGTACCTGACTTTCTGTTGCAAAGCGGCAGTCTTGGTGGAGCACTATTGCAACAAAAATAAAAAAAAGAGGCTAAAGGGAACACACCTCTGCAGGATGCAAGGACCTGGCTGGCGCTGTGGGGTGATACTGGTGCTAGGTGAGATAATAACGGAGCTAGGTGAAGATAATGTGGTGCTAGGTGAAGATAATGTGGTGCTAGGTGAAGATAATGCGGTGGTAGGTGAGGCTCAGCAGCTACAGTACCTCAGTACAGTATATGAAGACACGTGAGGAGTGCTACAATGTGTGTCTTCAGTGACTGACCAGACACACCTGACAAGTGTTCGAATTTCTTCTCTTCACATAAGAATATAAGAAGAAAATGTTTCATCTACAATTGTAATCATGTAATCTCCACACACACACACCACACACACACACACACCACACCACAACATATATTTAGATATATTATATTATATTATTCTTATATATATATATATATATATATATATATATTTAGATATATATCTTTATATATATTATATATATATATATTTATATATACCATGTATGATGTTTCTCACGTTGTTTGTAGGATCAATGGCGTTAGTGGACGAGTTCGACCCACGACACATTGTCCCGCCTCATGAGAAACACAAGTACATGTCACCTTATACACATCGATGGCTGCATGGAATAAGTTGACATGTAACGTTGTGTTGCCTCTTGAGGCGGGACAGTGTGGCGTGGGTCGAACCCGGGCCTGCCGCAGTTGGTAAATGAATTTTATATTTATATAGTATATATATTTATATTATATATATATATTTATATATATATATAGATATATATTTATATATATATATATATATATAGATATATATATATATTTATATATATTTATATATAGTATATCTATATATTTATTTTTATATTTATTTATATATATATATATATTTAATATGGTGTGTTAAATAAGACACATTGCTTGCACTTTTCGCTTGCTCAACTGGCTTCTTCAGTTGAATACATAGTGGAGAGGTGAAGACTATGTGATTAGTCCGTCAACACTGAAGTAGCAGTTCTGAGGTGGTCAGTCCCTCAGAATGGCATTTTATATCATTCATATAAACGAGACTCTCCTTCTTGCTGCTCCTCAACTTCTGATAACTTGTTTATCAAAATCTAGTACCGTGATTCTAGTGGCATCACTTGATTCTAGCGCCTTAGTAGGCCTACACTGGTAGCGGCTCGAGAGTATTTCCTGGGAAGGGAAACATTATCCTAGGCAGGGAGTATGGATATACTTGTGCATGGCGAGTATAACAGTGCAGTTACTTGCTTTAATTGGACCGACCGTCTTAATTTGACTCACTGAGCTTCCCCCGTTTTTATGCGTCTTGCCGTTGTTTCTGGTGAGCGTAGTTGCGTCAAGGTCTCTACTTTCCCCGCTGCCTGAGCTGAGGCATCGTACTCACCTTGTGTGGACTCATCTTTCATGTCTTCTCCTTCCCCCTTCCTCTCTCTCTCTCTCTCTCTCTCTCTCTCTCTCTCTCTCTCTCTCTCTCTCTCTTACTACAGTAATAAATGCAAACATTTCCAAATCCAAGATAATGTTTTTATTACGACATACAAGAGAGAGCAAGCTAGCAGACACAGGAGACGAATATACCACAAAACCAATGATCACATCTTAATGTCACCAATCTCTGTTTTTTTTTTTCCCTACGGCCTCGAGTCACAGCAAAAATCCCAACATTTGCTTACAAGTAAAAGTCGAAGACCGACCTTTCACAGCCTACTTTTCTTTTTCCCTTCTATTCAACCCAAAGTTCGTCTTAGAATATGCGTCCTCAATAAGACGCATATAGTAAACATTTGGGTGCGTCTTTTTTAACCCTACCCCCATTTGGGTGCGTCTTTTTTGCCCCCCCCCCACAGTTGAATACTTAAATGTAAGCTAGGTATCGATTCTCTCTCTTTTATTTTTCTTCTGGCAGTCTGTTGGCTCAGTGGGTAGCATTTGCGTCTGCTGGTCAGATATGGCTGGGGTTCGATACTACGATCCTTTCTAGGTGGAATGTGTCAGTTTGACGTTTGTTGGAACAAGGAACAACAGCTTTGGTCTGTTAAGAAGTGACGCAGAGTTTGTGAAGTGGTGAAGTGAACACGAGAGAAGTGGGAGTAAGAGAGAGAGAGAGAGAGATAGGGAGGGGGAGAGAGGTCGACTGAGTACCGTAGAGATTCGCTCCTTAGGTATACTTGCTCCTGAGGTATGTAAGCTCTTGATGTATACTTTGATCCTTCAGTATACACATTAATGAGGAATACTTCGATATACTCGCTTCTGAGGTATACTCGTTTCTATGGTATACCAAGTGACCAACTGGACGAGTACTGGCATCTGGAATTGTGTGGTGTGAGAGAGAGAGAGAGAGAGAGAGAGAGAGAGAAAAGAGTTAACCAAGGTAGTCGTGACTTCCCTCACTGGGAAAGTAGAGACCTTGACGCCGCAACGCTCGCCAGTATGAACAGGAAATAAAGTAAAAAAAAAAAAGCAGCGTATGGACAGGAAATAAAAAAGAAAGAAGAGAACAGCACATCGAGTCAAAGTATTACAAGGTGTTAGGAAGCGTCGGTCGCTGCGTCGGGTTCAGGCGAGTAACTGGACGGGTCACCGCTGCCAGAGGTTCAGAATTAGAGGCGAACAATTGTTGCGGCATTTTGCTCACCAGGAAAAAATAAAAGATAAATGAAACACTTGTGAAGGATTTGGGTATCTTTATTCTGAAAACGTTTCGCCAGCCAGTGGCTTCTTCAGTCCAATGCAGAGAAAGGTGGAAGATGAGGAGGAGGCGGAGTTTGTTGTAATCAGTCCCTCAGCTTACTCCTCATCCACCTTTCTCTGCATTGGACTGAAGAAGTCACTGGCTGACGAAACGTTTCCAGAATAAAGATACCTAAATGTTGCACAAATGTCTTATTTATAATCTTGTCGGTTTTCTCAACCATTTACTCAGAGGCGAAAAAAAAATAAAAAAAAATCCCTTCTGACGATAGTGTCAAATGACGACCCATTTCTCCCCCCAAGTCTATGTGTACTTACTTAAGATCAGTCTCGTGTGTCCTGTCGGTTGTCTGGCATTTTCATTTATCGTTCGCTGTAGCTAAGGTCATCTTGACCTTCGTTGATGTGGCTTCAGTATCCAAGTATGATGATCCTGACCTTTGCTGAGGCTGAACTGCGCAAAGCTTGGCGAGACGAGAGTCAGATTGCAGGTTATGTTTTTGTCTCGTGTTGTTGTGTGTGTGTTAGTGGAGCAGTCATGTGATGTGTTGTCCGTGTAGTGTGTGTTAGTGGAGCAGTCATGTGATGTGTTGTCCGTGTAGTGTGTGTTAGTGGAGCAGTCATGTGATGTGTTGTCCGTGTAGTATGTGTTAGTGGAGCAGTCATGTGATGTGTTGTCCGTGTAGTGTGTGTTTAGTGGAGCATTTATGTGATTTGTGTCCGTGTAGTGTGTGTTAGTGGAGCAGTCATGTGATGTGTTGTCTCGTGTAGTGTGTGTTAGTGGAGCAGTCATGTGATGTGTTTGTCCGTGTAGTGTGTTTAGTGGAGCAGTCATGTGATGTGTTGGGCCGTGTAGTGTTGTTAGTGGAGCAGTCATGTGCTGTGTTGTCTGTGTAGTGTGTTAGTGGAGCAGTCATGTGCTGTGTTGTCTGTGTAGTGTGTGTTAGTGGAGCAGTCATATGCTGTGTTGTCTGTGTAGTGTGTGTTAGTGGAGCAGTCATGTGATGTGTTGTCCGTGTAGTGTGTGTTAGTGGAGCAGTCATGTGCTGTGTTGTCTGTGTAGTGTGTTAGTGGAGCAGTCATGTGCTGTGTTGTCCGGTGTAGTGTGTGTTTAGTGGAGCAGTCATGTGCTGTGTTGTCCGTGGGAGTGTGGTGTTAGTGGAGCAGTACATGTGCTGTGTTGTCTGTGTAGTGTGTGTTAGTGGAGCGTCATGTGCTTTGTTGTCCGTGTAGTGTGTGTTTTGTGGAGCAGTCATTTGCTGTGTTGTCCGTGGGGTGTATGTTAGTGGACAGTCATGTGCTGTGTTGTCCGTTGTAGTGTGTTAGTGGAGCAGTCATGTGCTGTGTTGTCCGTTTTAGTGTGTTAGTGGAGCAGTCATGTGCTGTGTTGTCTGTGTAGTGTGTTAGTGGAGCAGTCATGTGCTGTGTTGTCTGTGTAGTGTGTTAGTGGAGCAGTCATGTGCTGTGTTGTCCGTGTAGTGTGTTAGTGGAGCAGTCATGTGCTGTGTTGTCTGTGTAGTGTGTTTAGGGAGCGTCATGTGCTGTGTTGTCTGTGTAGTGTGTTAGTGGAGCAGTCATGTGCTGTGTTGTCTGTGTAGTGTGTTAGTGGAGCAGTCATGTGCTGTGTTGTCTGTGTAGTGTGTGTTAGTGGAGCAGTCATGTGCTGTGTTGTCTGTGTAGTGTTAGTGGAGCAGTCATGTGCTGTGTTGTCCGTGTAGTGTGTGTTAGTGGAGCAGTCATGTGCTGTGTTGTCCGTGTAGTGTGTGTTAGTGAGCAGTCATGTGCTGTGTTTTTCGTGTAGTAGGTGTGTTAGTGGAGCAGTCATGTGCTGTGTTGTCCCTGTATGTGTGTTAGTGGAGCAGTCATGTGCTGTGTTGTCCGTGTAGTGTGTGTTAAATGGAGCAGTCATGTGCTGTGTTGTCTGTGTAGTTGTGTTTAGTGGAGCAGTCATGTGCTGTGTTTGTCTGTGTAGTGTGTTTAGTGGAGCAGTCATGTGCTGTGTTTTCTGTGTAGTGTGTTAGTGGAGCAGTTTATGTGCTGTGTTGTCTGTGTAGTGTGTTAGTGGAGCAGTCATGTGCTGTGTTGTCCGTGTAGTGTGTGTTAGTGGAGCAGTCATGTGCTGTGTTGTCCGTGTAGTGTGTGTTAGTGGAGCAGTCATGTGCTGTGTTGTCCGTGTAGTGTGTGTTAGTGGAGCAGTCATGTGCTGTGTTGTCCGTGTAGTGTGTGTTAGTGGAGCAGTCATGTGCTGTGTTGTCCGTGTAGTGTGTTAGTGGATCAGTCATGTGCTGTGTTGTCTGTGTAGTGTGTTATTGGAGCAGTCATGTGCTGTGTTGTCTGTGTAGTGTGTTAGTGGAGCAGTCATGTGCTGTGTTGTCTGTGTAGTGTGTTAGTGGAGCAGTCATGTGCTGTGTTGTCCGTGTAGTGTGTGTTAGTGGAGCAGTCATGTGCTGTGTTGTCCGTGTAGTGTGTGTTAGTGGAGCAGTCATGTGCTGTGTTGTCCGTGTAGTGTGTTAGTGGAGCAGTCATGTGCTGTGTTGTCTGTGTAGTGTGTTAGTGGAGCAGTCATGTGCTGTGTTGTCCGTGTAGTGTGTGTTAGTGGAGCAGTCATGTGCTGTGTTGTCCGTGTAGTGTGTGTTAGTGGAGCAGTCATGTGCTGTGTTTTTCCGTGTAGTGTGTGTTAGTGGAGCAGTCATGTGCTGTGTTGTCCGTGTTGTGTGTGTTTGTGGAGCATCATGTGCTGTGTTGTCCGTGTAGTGTGTTAGTGGATCAGTCATGTGCTGTGTTGTCTGTGTAGTGTGTTATTGGAGCAGTCATGTGCTGTGTTGTCTGTGTAGTGTTTTTTAGTGGAGCAGTCATGTGCTGTGTTGTCTGTGTAGTGTGTTAGTGGGCAGTCATGTGCTGTGTTGTTCCGTGTAGTGTGTGTTAGTGGAGCAGTCATGTGCTGTTTTTGTCCGTTTTAGTGTGTGTTTTGGAGCAGTCATGTGCTGTGTTGTCGTTTTAGTGTGTGTTAGTGGAGCAGTCATGTGCTGTGTTGTCGTGTAGTGTGTGTTAGTGGAGCAGTCATGTGCTGTGTTGTCCGTGTAGTGTGTTAGTGGATCAGTCATGTGCTGTGTTGTCTGTGTAGTGTGTTATTGGAGCAGTCATGTGCTGTGTTGTCTGTGTAGTGTGTTAGTGGAGCAGTCAGTGCTGTGTTGTCTGTGTTGTGTGTTATGTGGAGCAGTCATGTGTTGTTTTTGTCCGTGTAGTGTGTGTTTAGTGGGCAGTATGTGCTGTGTTGTCCGTGTAGGGGTGGGGTTAGTGGAGCAGTCATGTGCTGTGTTGTCCGTGTAGTGTGTTAGTGGAGCAGTCATGTGCTGTGTTGTCCGTGTACCGTTGTGTGTGTGTGTTGTTTTTTTAGTTTTTGATGGTAAAATAAATGTCTCTCTCTCTTCTCTCTCTCTCTCTCTCTCTCTTCTCTCCTTCTCTCTCTCTATCTTCTCTCTCTTTTCTCTCTCTCTCTCTCTCTTTTCTGTTTCTTGTATTTTCTTATATCAGTCAAAATATTTAGTGTTTGACATAATTTTCACAAAATATCATCAACATATCTTCACCGTTTCCTTCTCTTCAAAAAATGTTACTCTTATTTCGGTAATCCTGTACTGTCGGTGCTGACTTCTCGGCTCCCAGTAGTCTGCTTCACAACGTGTTCTTAGGTGTGATGCTACACGCTGGTGCTTCATCAGGTGTGTGGGCTCCACCCTGGTGCTTTATCAGGTGTGTGGGCTCCAAATTGGTGCTTTATCAGGTGTGTGGGCTCCACATTGGTGCTTTATCAGGTGTGTGGGCTCCACCCTGGTGCGTCATCAGGTGTGTGGGCTCTACGTTGGTGCGTCATCAGGTGTGTGGGCTCTACGCTGGTGCTTCAGTGACATCTACATTCGAATCAATTATCCTATCTTCGTGTCATAAGCAAATTTGATCATATCACTAGTAGCTCCCTCGTCAAGGTCATTAATATATATTACAAACAACAATGAGCCTAAAACTGATCCCTGTGGAACGCCACTTGTTACAGATCCCCACTCAGAATTTACCCCATTTATGCACACTCTCTGCTTCCTGTTGGTGAGCCATGACTCGATCCACGACAGCACTTCTCCTCCACTGCCGTGATCTGCCACTTTCTTTAACAGTCTCTGGTGAGGTAATCTATCAAAAGCCTTACTAAAATTCAAATAAACAATATCGTATTTTTAATCGTCATCAACAGCCTCAAAAGCTTTGTGGCTCTGGTGGCCTGGTGGTTAACGCTCTCGCTTCACACGGTGAGGGCCTGGGTTCGATTCCCAGCCAGAGTAGAAACATTGGACGTGTTTCTTTCCACCTGTTGTCTATGTTCCCCATCAGTAAAATGGGTACCTGGGTGTTAGTCGACTGGTGTGGGTCGCATCCTGGGACACTGACCTAAGGAGGCCTGGTCACAGACCGGGCCGCGGGGGCGTTGACCCCCGGAACTCTCTCCAGATAAACTCCAGATAAACTCCAGAAGAAAGTTAATTAATTAGTTTGGCAGGAACGGCCCCTCATGAATCCATGCTATCATTAATCAAATTATGTTTATCAAGATAGCTTCTCTAGTAATTTGCCTACAGTGGAGGTCAGGCTTATTGGGCAGTAATTTGACGGTATCGACTTGTCCCCTGCTTTAAAAATAAGAATAACATTGGCCATCTTCCACATAATCAGACACTACACCTGTTTGAAGAGATATAGTAAAAATGTTAATTAATGGTTCTAACTTCTAACTGTATTGTATATTTTTTTCTTCATGTCAAGTATAATTCTTACTACAACGTTATTACATATAATCCGATCATTCCTCCCAGTGTTCTTCTCTCCGGACATTTATCGTGGCTTCCTTGTCTCTTCCTTCTCTCCTTCCGTTTTTCTCTCTCCAGTTCCAACTCTATATAATGAACAACTGGCAATAAGTGATCAGTTGCTCCTAGTTGCTATTTCCCTGGAACTTGTTAATGGTCTAAGTCAGACCGAAATGTCGTTATAAGTTTCGATCTCCTATGTACTGGTTATTTGTGTCTTATTTCGTCTATATCTGATTTGTTTAGAGTGGATAGACTATCAAGTCGTCCCGGCTCATCCCAGGCTCTCACTCATGAATCCCAGACCTTGTGTCATGGCTCATAAACTTTGACATTACTCTCTTCACTAGCCCTCTTCTCCGTGTTTCTTTTTTTTTCTCAAGTGGATTTCAGTTTTCCCAAGCAGTTTCTGTTTTTCGTTATAATCAGTAAATTTGTTTTGTCCAGCATTCTCTCTGTCCAACTGTCTTCTCAGTGTTTGCCTCGTGTTATTGCCCCCTCATACCCTGTTCTCTGCCTCCTGCTGTTCTGTACGGTGTTGTATGCCACTGTTGTTATTTGTTACTGTTATTATCATCTTGCGTTCACCTGTAATTAATGTTCCTCTCAGGTACTTGCTTATCATTTTTGTTCCCTCTGTGTTACACACTGCACCTCTGGTCTGCAGGTATTCATGGTTGAAGCTCCTGAAGATCTCCAGTTGTTCTTGAACACGAGTTCAACTCTTCATTCCTAGTTCTCCCCTTCTTCTCTTATTGTCATGTGTCCCTTCGAAAAAAAATGTTTTTAATATCCCAGGTAATTTTGTTTCAGTGAGTGCCATAATGCTTACTTCGTCCTCTGACACTTTACACTTTAACTTAACACTTATGTCAGTGACACTCTGATTCTTCTGATCCTCAGTATTTATTGGTTGCTCTTCTTCTGCCACATTGCTGGGATCAAGAGCCTTTCTCCAGCATCAAGGCACACTTCCTTGAAGGGAATAAGAGGAAATCAGGCTTGATCCAAGAGAGGGGGAGGAGTAGCTCCAGTTCGTTGAACAAAGTTCGAGATTAGCAGAAGTACAAACGTTGGGCATGTTTCAGTTCACCTAGCAGTCAGTAGGTAATTGGGTGTTAGTCGACTGTTATGGGTGGCATACTGGGGGAAAGGATCAAAAGACCTCAATGAATAGAAAGCAATACAAAGTGGCTTTACTGGGTTATCCTGGGTTACTAACCCTCTGGATTATTAATATAAATAAAATCTTCTTCAGATGTGTTTCCCTTCTTATGGACTCGTTCTGCATGTAAGGTTCGTGACAGTCATACGTAGAGGTGCTCAGATAGTACCTGTTTTTTTCATATATGGAGGTATTCAGATGTTTCTTTTCTTTCGTATGTGAAAGTGTTCTAATTATTTTTTTCGTACTTGGTGGTGGGTTAATGGTGCTCTTTTTAACTCCACCGCCTCTCATGGCTCCTGCAGAAGTGTTGTCCGTGGTGCTGGCCGCCCAGGACGCAGTCCAGGATATCTCTGACGAAGGGCTGGACTCCTTCGGCGCAGGCGAGGTTGTAGTGGAGGGAGCCATCAGGCTAGGGCGGTCACGGTCGCCCCGGGCGCTGAGGGGCACGGTGAACGGTGGTACGCCCGGGCACGACTTCCCTACCCTCAACGCCGTGCCTGCTACAAACTTCAACTGCCACGGGAAGAAGCACGGCTACTACGCTGATGTTGATACCGGCTGCCAGGTGCGTACAGGGGATTAGTGTGCGTTTGTGACGTGGTTGTATATATGTACGTGTATGTATCGTGAGTACACACACACAGACATTTATTATTATATATTATATATATATATATATATATATATATATATATATGTGTGTGTGTGTGTGTGTGTGTGTGTGTGTGTGTGTTGTGTGTGTGTGTGTGTGTGTGTGTGTGTGTGTGTGTGTGTGTGTGTGTGTGTGTGTGTGTGTGTGTGTGTGTGTGTATGCGTGTTGACAAATATTTATGTCTGTTTAGCAAGTAATAGTTGTAATAACACCATGATAACACACTAATAACACAGTAATAACACTATGACGAAACTCGGCAGATAACTACGTTCGTAATGTTATCATAGCAAGTTATCCTGACCTCTGTGATGTTCGTCATCCTGACGTCTGAAGGTTATCATCCTGATGTGTCGCTATCACGTTTGTTTCAGGTCCTTGTATGAAAAGTCCCTCAGGCAGCATCACACACTCCAACTATGTCTCTCAATCTCTTGTTTCCTGCAGGTGTTCCACGTGTGTCAGGCTGACGGTCGCCTGAACAGCTTCCTGTGTCCCAACAGTACCATCTTCCACCAGCGGAGGCTGGTCTGTGACTGGTGGTACAACGTCAAATGTGACGCCTCAGCCCAGTACTTCGATGTCAACCTGGAGATCGGCAAGGTGCCAGCAGCCTCTACCCGCTCCTCGGGGCTCACTGGGGGTGCAAGAGCTCAAGGATCAGGCTTCTCTGGAGGTGCTGGATCCCAAGTATCAGGCTTCTCTGGAGGTGCTGGATCCCAAGGATCAGGCTTCTCTGGGAGTACTGGATCCCAACGATCAGGCTTCTCTAGGGGCGCTGGATCCCAGGGGTCACGTTTTTCTAGTGGAAGTGGATCCCAAAGGCCAAGCTTCTTTGGGGGGGCTGAAACCCAAGGATCAGGCTTCTCTGGGGGTAGTGGATCCCAAGCGTCAACCTTCACTGAGGGTGCTGGAACTCAAGGGTCAGGTTTCACTGGGAGTAGTGGATCCCAAGTGTCAAGCTTTACTGGGGGTGCTGGGACCCAAGGATCAGGCTTCTCTGGGGGTAGTGAATCCCAAGCGTCAAGCTTCACTGGGGGTGCTGGAACCCAAGGGTCAGGATTCTCTGGGAATAGTGGATCCCAAGTGTCAAGCTTTACTCTAGGTGCTGGAACCCAAGGATCAAGCTTCTCTCGGGGTAGTGGATCCCAAGCTTCAAGTTTCACTGGGGGTGCTGGAACCCAAGCGTCAGGCTCCGGAAGAGTCACTGGCCAAACTCCCTTCCAAGCAGCAGCAGCAGCACCTCAGACTCGACCTCTTGGACCTCCAGTAACCTTACCCTCTGCTGGAGATCACTCGAGGGTCAGTGGACAGGGCAGCTTCACGAGCTCACGAGGATTGACACCAAGCTCAGCAAGGCCAACTCTTATTCCTGCAGCCCAAGTTACACCATCAGGAGGGAGTGGAACTTTTGCCAGCCGAGTGCAAGGAACGCTTAGAACTTCCCAAACACCGCCGAGAACTGCTCCGAGAGTTCCAGTTCCCACTTTCCCACCAATTACATCTCCAGCACCTACGTTTCCACCACATACAACTCCAGCACATACATCTCCAGCACCTACAATTCCAACACCTACAGCAACTCGAGCCCCTACACTCATAGGTCAGGCACCTACAAGAAGTTTCACACCTACAAGAACTTTTGCACCTGCAAGAGTAGCCGTGTCAAAGCGTCCTGTGGGAACGTCCAGCCACTTCGGCGTCTCTCTCCCGAGTCTAAACAGACCTCCTGCCGATGGTGTCAATTTGTTGATTAGTGGTATTCAGAGCTCTCAGATCCTCGATAACGTCGCTGATGTGAGAGACGCTGGCTTTGGCGTTCCACTCCCATCTACCGGAGGAAACCAAGCCACCCAGAGTGTGTCTAATCAGAACAGAATACAGACCACTCATCGATTCCAAGCTAGCCAGGGTGTTTCTCTGAGTAACACACGATCACAATCGCAACCTTCCAGCTTTCAGAGCGACACTAGGGACCGAAAAATTGCAGTCGGACAGCCTGCGTTGCCCGTTCGAAGACCTTTCACTACTGGAACACCCAGCAGAGGATCTGCAACATTTAGCACTCGGACTCGCAAACTTTGAGGGTAGGCCAACCTGTTGGCGTGCCTTTACCTGCACTAAGCAGCACAGTGAGTTCAGGAACTGGTCACCGTGGATCTTCAGTACCCAGCGTGCCTCAAAGAGACGGCAGCAACTCTGGAGCTGGACAGAGAATTCCGGGAGTTGTAGCAACCACTTCGCAACAAGGAGCCACACAGGGATCATTCGGTATTCCTCTTCCAATTCTTTCCTCAACGGGAGGCTCCCAAGGTAGCGTGGGCGTCCCGCTGACTACCGCCGGCGGTGTCTCGTCCGTTGGAAGGTTCGGTTCGACGGTGACCAGAACCGGAGGATCAAGGTTGCCACAAGGTACTATAGGACCAATAATTATCGTCGAAGACGATAGGGATGACTCTGATGATCGATTTGATTTGGACGACCGATTCGATGATGACCGATTCGATTTAGATGACCGATTCGACGATGATAGATTCGATTTAGATGACCGATTCGATGACGATCGATTCGATGATGATCGATTCGATGACGACCGTTTTGATTTAGATGATCGCTTTGATGATTTGGATGACCACTTCGATGATCTGGACGACCGATTCGACGACGATCGTTTCGGTAGAACCAACTTCCTTAGAAATCCGAACACACTGAGCCCAGGTGTGGGCTTGCCCTTACCCCCGTCAGAGATCCAGCTGCCTCCTCCGACGGGATTCTAACCGCGTAGACGATCTTCGAATTCAAACGGCCAACGGGAGCCTCGCGGATTCGAGAGCCTCGGTGCCTTCTTCAGGCGCCGAGACTGATCCTGCAAACGAGGCAGCTCCTAAGAGCCTTCATCCTCCACCGCATCATTTGGGAACACCTGTTCTTATCCCTGTGTATATTGTGATATGTGATATTAAATAAGTCATCTGTACATTTTCTAGTACCTAACTCACACCCGAATTATTTCGAGACTCGGATCACTGTGATTTGCATTACAAAATGTGCCTTATTGATGCTGTTGAAATGTCACTCTCTCATTCCATATAGATGAATAAATAGCTCTGTAAGGATTTAATGTATATATATATATATATATATATATATATATATATATATATATATATATATATATATATATATATATATATATATATATATATATATATATATATATATATATATATATATATATATATATATATAAGGGTGGTAAGAAGAGATACCTCAATGATTCATATGGTTAGAATATAATATTAGAAGGCCAACGTTGCTAAGTCTTCATATACATTAATACCATACACTAGGATTTTTATTTATTATATCAAACATCTTGAATATTATTTTCTGCTCACCAGAAGATGAGTCAAGTTCTGTGGACAGACAGAGGCTGGGTGTCAGCCCCTGGGTGGCCATCACTCTCTATTCCGCTCTTCAAGTGTTGAATAGGGCGCCAAGATCTCCTATCGGATGGAATCTATCCAGCGACAGGCTAAAGCAACTTTCGTCCCCCAGATGTTAATAATATATTCAAATTTGTTATATCTTCCCATGTGTAAATCTCGAGGCTTCTCGTTCCAGCGCCTTGTGTATAGAAGAGCATATTTTTATAGATTTTTTTTTTTGTAAATAAGAGAATCGCATTTCTTTGTGAAATAAATTGCTTTCGTTACATTTGATTCTTCAGGTGTAAATTACGAGAGTTTGTCGACCAGCTGCGTTACTTGGAGACTTAAAACTGTGTTGCATGGGAATCCTACAGATTTATCATTTGTGTATTGATGGTGTGTTGCTGGTGTTGTGATAGTGTGTTGCTCGTGTTGTGATAGTGTGTTGCTGGTGTTGTGAAGTGTGTTGCTCGTGTTGTGATAGTGTGTTGCTGGTGTTGTGATAGTGTGTTGCTCGTGTTGTGATAGTGTGTTGCTGGTGTTGTGATAGTGTGTTGCTCGTGTTGTGATAGTGTGTTGCTGGTGTTGTGATAGTGTGTTGCTCGTGTTGTGATAGTGTGTTGCTCGTGTTGTGATAGTGTGTTGCTCGTGTTGTGACAGTGTGTTGCTCGTGTTGTGATAGTGTGTTGCTCGTGTTGTGATAGTGTGTTGCTCGTGTTGTGACAGTGTGTTGCTCGTGTTGTGATAGTGTGTTGCTCGTGTTGTGACAGTGTGTTGCTCGTGTTGTGATAGTGTGTTGCTCGTGTTTTGACAGTGTGTTGCTCGTGTTGTGACAGTGTGTTGCTCGTGTTGTGACAGTGTGTTGCTCGTGTTGTGATAGTGTGTTGTCGTGTTGTGATAGTGTGTTGCTGGTGTTGTGATTAGTGTGTTGCTGGTGTTGTGATAGTGTGTTGCTGGTGTTGTGATAGTGTGTTGCTCGTGTTGTGATAGTGTGTTGCTGGTGTTGTGATAGTGTGTTGCTCGTGTTGTGATAGTGTGTTGCTCGTGTTGTGATAGTGTGTTGCTCGTGTTGTGATAGTGTGTTGTTCGTGTTGTGATAGTGTGTTGCTCGTGTTGTGATAGTGTGTTGCTGGTGTTGTGATAGTGTGTTGCTGGTGTTGTGATAGTGTGTTGTGGTGTTGTGATAGTGTGTTGCTGGTGTTGTGATAGTGTGTTGTTCGTGTTGTGACAGTGTGTTGCTCGTGTTGTGACAGTGTGTTGTTCGTGTTGTGATAGTGTGTTGCTCGTGTTCTGACAGTGTTCTGATTGCATTGCTTTTTGTATTGATGGAGTGGTGTTCGTATTCTGATTGTGTGTTGATAGTGTGTTGATTGTGTTGCTTGTGTGTTGCCTGCCACCTTGTGTGTTACTTGCTGTACCCTTTTGGAGCCCTCAGTGTTACTATACCATACATTAGTGTTACCACACCCTTACTTGATATTGTCTTAGTATTACCAGACCTTTTTCATGACCCTGTCTTAGTGAGGACCAGCAGCTGGAGTCTCTCATCTCTCCTCTATGTCTTCTTCATTCCTCTGTGTCTTCTTCATTCCTCTATGTCTTCTTCATTCCTCTATGTCTTCTTCATTCCTCTATGTCTTCTTCATTCCTCTATGTCTTCTTCATTCCTCTATGTCTTCTTCATTCCTCTATGTCTTCTTCATTCCTCTATGTCTTCTTCATTCCTCTATGTCTTCTTCATTCCCATATGTCTTCTTCGTTCCTCTTGTCTTCTTCATTCCTCTATGTCTTCTTCATTCCTCTATGTCTTCTTCATTCCTCTTTGTCTTCTTCATTCCTCTATGTTTCTTCATTCCTCTTTGTCTTCTTCATTCCTCTATGTCTTCTTCATTCCTCTGTGTCTTCTTCATTCCTCTGTGTCTTCTTCATTCCTCTATGTCTTCTTCATTCCTCTGTGTCTTCTTCATTCCTCTATGTCTTCTTCATTCCTCTGTGTCTTCTTCATTCCTCTGTGTCTTCTTCATTCCTCTATGTCTTCTTCATTCCTCTTTGTCTTCTTCATTCCTCTATGTCTTCTTCATTCCTCTGTGTCTTCTTCATTCCTCTGTGTCTTCTTCATTCCTCTATGTCTTCTTCATTCCTCTTGTTCTTCTTCATTCCTCTATGTCTTCTTCATTCCTCTATGTCT